TGTTCGCCTCAGCAGCGGCGGGCTGATGCAGGGAGAGCAGCCTGCTGTGTTAGTGTGTTTGTTATGTGTATTTTTTGCTTGTCTAGCGATAAATATAAATAAAATATAATTAATAAACAAAATAAACAAAGAAGAAACGAAAAAGAAACAAAGAAAAACAACAAAAACAAAAAACAAAAAACACAGCTGCTGCATATATCCGCAGCCCCGCGAGCTGCGCGTACACCGCAGCACGCCCCCAATTCAGATAAAAAAAAAAACAAAATTTAACTTTTTATATTTAAATTTATAATTTATATTCAAAAGTTTTCATTTATTCAATTAAATACACTATCTATTTAGTCCGTCTCCTCAGCGCACTCATGCTATATACATAAAACAACGACAGCAGCAGCAGCAGCAGCAGCAGCAGCAGCAGCAGCAGCAGCAGCAGCAGTTGTTGAGTCAGATGCATCAATAGCATAACTGCAGCAGCAACAGATACAGCAGCAGCAGCAACAGATATAGCAGCAGCTGCTGCTGCTGTTCGAGTAGCAGCAGCAGCAGCAGCAGCAGCAACAGCAGCAGCAGTTAGAGCGTCGGCAACAGCAGCAGTTATAGTCGCAGCAGCAGCAAAGAGAATAGCAACAGCAGCAGCTAGGGCTGCAGCAGCAGCAGCAGCTACCCCAATATCAGCAACATATAAGGAGCAGCAGCAGCAGACAAAGCAGCAGCAGCAGCAGCAGCAGCAGCAACAATTAAAACAGCATCGGCTACAAGTAGAACAGCAGCAGCAACGGCGACAGCAGCAGCACCCGCAGATGCTGCAGCAGCTGCAACTGTCAGAGCAGCAACTGCTGCAGCTGCTGCTGCTGCAGCAGCGGCTGCAGCAGCAAGAGTTAAAGAAGCAGCAGCAAGAGCTGCAGCAGCAGCAGCAGCAGCAATTGCTGCTAAATATAAAACTCGGATTTTCTATGAAGGGGTTTTGTGGCTTATAAGCTGCATTTGTGTTGCTGCTGTTGTTCGATTGACTTGCTGCTGCTGCTGCTGCAGTGTAGTTGACTTGCTGCTGCTGCTGCTGCTGCTGCTGTTCTGCTGCTGCTGCTGTCTTGCTGCTGCTGCTGCAGTTATTATTTTCTGCGTTTTTCTTCGACTCATCAAAACAAAAAACAACAGAAATTATCCCGCTACAATCCAACAAAAAGCGTACACGCACCAGCTAGCCATCCAGCCAGCTAGCTAGCTAGCTAGCTAGCCAGCTAGCTAGCTCAAGAGTTGGCTAGCTCGCTCGCTACACACTTGTCTAGCCAGCTAGCTAGCTAGCTAGCTAGCTGAATGGCCAGCCAGCTAGCTAGCTACTATATTTGGATATCCAGCCAGATACCCAGCGAACTAGCTAGCTAGCTAGCTAGCTAGCTAGCTAGCCAGCTAGCTAGCTAGCCAAGAGCAGGTAAGAAGCTGCAGCAGAAAGCCGCCTGTAGCCTCTGATACCACCGACGATCGCGAGATACATCGGCTGCTGCTGTTGCTGCTGTTGCAGTTGCTGCTGCTGCTGTTGCTGCTGCTGCTGCTGCAGTTGCTGCTGCTGCTGCTTTGCTGCTCTTGCAGCACCTCGACCACGCCCTTGCAGCAGCAGCAGCAGCAGCAGCAAACTGCCGCCGCCACCGCCTCCTCCTCCTCCTCCTCCGCAGCAGCAGCAGCAGCAGCTGCTGCTGCTGCTGCTGCAGTGTATAAGATACGAAGCCTATATAAAGTTTATATTC